CACGCCCAGCTAATTGTTTTGATTTATGTAGAGATGAGGTCTCACCAAGTTGCCCTGGTGGGTCTCGAACCCGCGGGCTCAGGCAATCCACTCACCTCGGCCTCCCAAAGCGCGGGATCACAGGCTGAGCCACCGAGCCGGGCCGATGGCACTTTCAAGCAGATGGAAACAGGTAGGGCCATGGCTCCTGGGCCAGCGTTTGGAAGGAATACGACAGGGTCGCTTCTGTAGGAGGGAAAGTGGGCAGGACTCAGTCCTATCATTTTTGCTAGGATGACTAAAGTCCCAGATAAAGAGCTTCCGTTGGCCATGGGAAGGAAACAAATTTCTGAGCTCCCAGAGGGCATGGATGACTGAGCTGGTGCATTTCAGTCCAGATTCAGCCACCAATCCGCAATGTGACTTTGTGCAAGGCACCGCTACACCTTCTAGGTCTGTTTCCGCCTCTGTGAAAGTGTGGAAACACCTGCTGGGAAGGGAAACAGGAGCAGGGGTAGGGAAAGAATTTTGCACACTGTGAGTCCAGTGCTCCTTTGTGGGGCCACCAAGGTTTGAGGGCTTAGGGGTGGCGTTGTGGTGTTTGTTCTGTGAGCGAAATGCCCACCTAAGCAGAATCCGCCCAGACAAATCCCCATTTCACTGGGATGCCAGTCGCCTCTCCGTTATCCCAGGAAGGTAGCGAGAAGGGGGTCTTGGTGAGCCCTGTGGCCTAGGAGGCCAGGCAGAACTGATTCAGCCAAGGGGCAGCGTGAGGTAGGGGAAGGAGCACTGCGCAGGGAGTCAAGCCTACTGAATTTTATTCCAGATCCTCACTTGTTACAACCTTCCCCCAGATGGAGACAGAATCCTATGATTTTTAAGCATCAACTACCAGAGCTTATGACTACGAGGGAGCAGCCCAGGGAAGATGTGGCTCCCTTTCCACCCAAGGAGGCGGACAGGGACTGGATGCCCTAGTGGGGCAGAACCGGGCGAAGGACGTGGGACCTAAAGGGTTTGGGGAATGCCCTGAACGCGCGGCTGGAGAGGCGGGCTCAGAGCACGGTAGTCTCTGATTGGCTGTGCTGCCCATCGCTCCGCCCGTGCTCTATAAGATGCGCCGGCCGCCGGCGCGGCCCTGGCGTGGGGACTGCGGCCGCAT